GACCTTAGCAGGGAGCTTCGAGGGAACACACTCACACGACACAAAATCAACAGATACAAATGATTTTTTTTTTTTAAATAAACTCTTAAATATATTTGTATAATTTTTTTAAAAAAAATTGCCCGTCAACATTTCACATTCATGGATGCAGATTGACACTTGACCCGCCAATCTCGCAAATACCGCATCCTTCAAATGCGTTTTTATTTCTGCTGCTCTACATGCACGACAAATCAAACATTGAAGAACTGCATGCATGCACGCCCACACACACACACACACACACACACACACACACACACACACACACACACACACACACACACACACACACACGGAAGTACCTCTCCCTTCTTCCCACTTGACAGTCAATAACCAGCAGAGCTGTCAATTTATTCATGAGAGAGGAATGTCGCACACGCACACAAAACCTGCAGTGTGTTGCGGCAACAAGTGCTGAATTATATTGCAGTGATCGAAACAGCACAGGAATGAAATCCATAGTTTGTGAGTGCGTGTGTGCATTTTCAAATCATCATCCAGTTTCCACTTGGCAACATGAAATTTGGAAGTTGTGTATGATGACAAAAAAAAAAGGAAATATGTCTGCCATTTTCCAAGGGTCCTCCAAAGATGCACTTGTTCTTGAAATTTAGTTTAAATGAAACCACCTTTCCTGAAAAAGTGAGAGTGAAGCATCATGGTTAACATTTGACAAAAAAGTTGACTTGAACTTGAATTTAAGTTTGATGACTCATCAGAAAATGCACAAGTCTAATAAATTGAACTTGGAAATTCAGCCCCTGTTAGTGTCACTTAGCAACAGGAAACTTGCCAAACTCATCAGTCACGAGCAGACCCGCCCAAAAAAAAAAAAGTATTTGGAAAGCCATGAGTGGAAACGCACGGGAAGGCTGCCATTTTGCTTTGAAGCGGCCATTTTAGGGGGAAAGTGATGTCAGTCATTCCTTCCCCGTTCTCTCATTGGCTGCATTATTTATGCCTTTAAGTCCATTGTTCGGCGGCCGAGGAAGAAAAGTGGCCAAGGAGAAGACATAAAAGAGTTTGACATGTTCTTGCAGTCGGAAAAAAAAAAATGATGACGGTAATGCTGCCGCGAATGGCCGATAAAAGCCCTCATGTGCTGCTGAGCCTGAGACTCATCACAGATTATTAACATTTATATTGAAAGATGAGCTTCCATTAGCAAGCAGCTGCTAAATTACACGGGGCTGTCTTACGTGCGCAAGTGTGTGCGTGTGTGTGTGTCTGTGTGCGTGTGTATGAATGATTGTAGTTTATTGGCAGGTGGAAGACACGACTCATTTTAGCAAGTCAATATCCGCACCCGGGATCACAAACATTCAAATATTCATGAGGCTCAGCTCTAAATGTGACGCCGAAGACGGCGTCCTCGTTCTTGTTGGGCTTGTTGCTCTTACGGCACAGCTAATGATGTCATCCAGTTGGTGTTTGATGAATTGAATAAATTGAAAATCCCAATCGAGATTTGAGGTTCTCATCCTTCGAATAGTGTTTGGGTCATCAGGAAAGGACTTTCCGGCCTTGCCTGCCCGGGCTATTATGTCACTCATGTATTTGCAATCCGTCAGCGACTGCATCGGTTGCTCACAATGGCGCTAAAGGCTGGCATTAGCAAGATGTGCCACGACAAAGGCACAGATTAACGTTCTGGCGTCCTCCGCCTCTGTCAAATGTGAGTAATTTGCAGAGCGTGCTGGGAAGTGGCTTTCATGCCATTTGCAGCCTATCAGCCAACTCATTTGTGGACCTTAATGACTCGAAACACGCTCGCTCTACCCTTGCTCTACCGACGCTGATAAAGCGGGGTAAGCCCCCCACGCCTGTCAATCATCCTAAGCAGCTCATGTGACAGGCCAAACGCGAGCATAAAATAGCTTCAATAGTTTCTTCGTCACAATAGGGGAGCAGAATTCAAATGGCTTCACCTAAAATGCTCAAAGGTCGTTATAAACTACGGCGTCTTGTAGCTTTTGATTTAGCTAGCAAAAGGAAGCGAACAACTCTAACCTACCTATCTGTCCACCAACTAGCTCAACTTGCTTCTACCAGGCTCTTTTGAAATACTTCTGCTCTTTTTGTACCTCAACACATGTATAAATGAAGAACGACAACAAAACGCAGATGTCCTTGTCAAGAAGACAGGAAACGGGGTCATTTTTCCAAAAGAAGCCAAAATCAAACGCTTGTTGTTTTTTCAGGCGACTGGACTGCTGGCCAACGAACAAAATCCACTTGGTCCAAGCTCAGTGGCGTGAGGGCGATAGCTGTGACAGATGCTGTGTGGCGGTGGGTGTGCGCCAGGCTCCACAAACCTGCACTCACTTGATTGCCTCTTAACAAGCACACTGCAACATGGGAGTGTGGTGTCCAAATTGTTTTTTTTTTTTGGGCGGGGAACATGAGCTTCAGTGTGTCTTAGCATGTATGCTTTGTTAGCAAAAGTGTGTTCGCAAGTTAGTCACAGTATGCTAATTTTTTTTTAAGCGTTGGTTTGTGTGTTAGCATGGGTGTTTGCTAGCATAGCTGTGTGTTAGCTTGAGAGTGTGTTAGCATGGCCCCGTATGTTAGAATGATCGTTTCTTTGGATGTGTGCGTGTTAACGTGTGCGCATGTAAGCATTTGAACGCGTTATGAAATGGGGCTTGTGTTAGCACGTGTGTTAGCATGTGTGGTTGTTTGGGAGGTCAACTCCCAGTGCACCATCAGAGAGGCGAGGCATTTCTCGTAAAAGCCCAAAGGTAAGCTTTAATGAGTGCGGGGACACACACGGCACACACGTATTTCTGGGCTTCCTGTTCTGGAAAGCGGGGGCGTTTGACCTTTATCAGATGGGAGCGTTAACAAGCTAATAGCCCGGCGCACATTCCAATTAGCGGCGGCGAGGGAAGCTTGATCCCAGCGAAGCCTGTTGCTCACAAATGGATCATTTTGCGCGCTTGGAATCTTTGTAATTTGTTGTCTTAATTGCTTGTTTTATTTCCGAACTTGTATTTATGACGATAGAGACATACTCATTGACCATTAAAATATTTTTACTGCATATATCCAATCAATGACTCAAAACACATAATTGTCGACTCACAGCTAATGAGAATTTAAAACTAAAACAAAACTGTGGACCACAAATGTACAATTGATGGTTATAGACACAGCCACTCTCATAAAATTGATGACAATAAACATACAATTGATTACTATGAACATGAAAATGTATTTGATCTCGCTTTAGTTCCTCCCACGGGGAAACATACAAGATTAACTTTGACACGAAAAACATATACTCTTCCTGTTGCTCTGCTTTCTGTCATTGTCATGATTGGTGTCACCCTGGAGGCGTCTCCATGGCGACCGGCTGGCAGGCCACAGCCCAGACGGTCAGCCTCCTCTTGATGCTATCAGCGAGGCCCAATCGGGGTCATAATTGTCGTTTAATGATCTCCATGCCGAAAGCCGGCGGACGGCATCTCCGCGGCGACCGAGCACTCCAAAAGGCGGATCCAGTCGTCTCCTGTGAGTGCTCGGTGGACTTCTGCCACTAATTTGTGCTCCCTTCCAGCCTCTGTGACTCCATTGATTTTCACCGGAGGCTCATTGTAATTGAATATCACATGATTTTATGATGACAATATAATTACGTCCTCGGGCTCTCGCTGTACGCTACGCTCGTTCCACTGACTCCTGCTGCATTTATCACCGGTGACAGACTTGCATGCGCCCTCGGTTCTTTGTGCTATGATGCCCACGTGCCATCCGCAAAACCCTCATATAACATGATCATGACATATGTCATCTGGATAACGGCTATCTCACAAAGATTTCAGTTCATCAAGCCAATTTTAACCCTTTCATGCACCCTGTAACCTGATAACATGATAGGCTGTCCACTGTAGTGACCGCCGTCCCTGAAAGGGTGAATATCACACAGGGGACAACCCAAGGAAATACAAAATGCGGTTTCTAAATGTGCTGTAACATCAACAACCCGATTCCATCGAAATAATATTTAAAATAATAATAATCCATATACCATTCAGAAAAATTTTGAAATTTTTTAAAAATCCTCCCAAAAAAAAAATCTGAGTGTAAAACAAGAAATGTTTTTTTTAATCTAAACATCCAGAAAACATAACACACAAAAACGCTGAAAAACATCTGCACGATAGCCCCAAAAAATTAATCTTAAAAAAAAACAAAAAAAACTGATAACATTTAGATCCCATCAGAGAAAACATTTACAACATGTCAAAAGAAACAGAAGAACACCACAGAACCTAAGATCTCCCAGCCAAAAATTTTAAGTCCAGATAACAAAGGGATAACATCGAGATAACGACGCGATCACTCGTGGATAACAGCGAGCGGCAAGCCGATAGCATCGCGACAAGAATGACATCGCATCCGGATAAGCCGAAGATTCCGTTCCGTTAAACAGGCTGCGTGTGTCTCGTGTGCTTCAAGTGTGTTAGTGGGCCGGCAGACGTCGTGTACGTGTATTTGCAAAGATGTACTGAGAGTGTGTTTGTATACATGAATTTGTGTGTGTGTGCGTGTGTGTGTGCACGCGCGAGTCCCCCAGGCCCGGCAGTGCAGAAAGAATTAATGAGTGGCAGGCAGGATTTTTTTTTTCCTCAAGGATGTCGTGTGATGTTCAACCATCGAACGACATCGCTCCAATGAGCCAGCGAATATGCATGTCAATGTTAGCAAGAGAATTGAAACATAGTGATGGAAAGGTGTTTTTCATTATTTTATTTTATTATAATCATAATTATTATTATTATTATTATTTAGAATAATAGAGATTTGGTTCTCATTTATACTAACATGTTTCTTTCAGAATGCTGGCAACCAGTTCAGTGTTACTGCCCGAAGACAGCTGCGATAGGCTCCAGCATGACCCGCGACCCTTGTGAGGATAAAGCGGAGATCGGAAAATGGATGAATAAACGAAAAGTAAACACGGCTCATGGAAAAATAAAAATTACTTCGACCCGGACCGATGGAACTCGGGAAACTCAAGACAAACGAATCGATGAGACAACGAGGCACACCTGGTCAAGACACGAGTGGCTGGAGGGAGCTGATTGAGTGACACGAGGAACACAGGAAAACATGACGTCAAGTTAACACGAAGGCGGATCGTGACAAAGCATCTCCGGTGAGTAGAGGCCATATTTTTGTCACGTTTGATGTTGTTTGTCTTGTTCAAAGATAAATACTCACTCTGGACTTGTGATGTTGCGGCAAAGCTGCTCGTAGTTACGTTGCACTTTGATGCTTTCTATAATTGCGATGTGATACATCTTATTTTGCCACTGACCGCCGAGAGCAAGAAACTTTTCCACTCGTGGATCAAAGCCCCGTCCCCCCCTGACGTTGCGGTTCCGGCCGGCTTTTTTGAGCGCGGCTAAAATGAGGTTTGCGCCGGCAACGCGGCCCCCGCGGAGACGCCGGCAGCCCGTCCGACTTTTATCTCCGGCAGAGCGCGTACGAGACTTGACGACGAGCAGAAGAAAGGGTGTGCTCGTCCTCGTGCTGTGAGAACAAGAGAGTGGAGTTTATTTTAGTTATGAGCTCGTTCGTGTCTTTGCGGCTTGGATGTTTGTGTTCCGCTAACACACCGGAGGCTCTCTCACGCTTCCACTGGAGATGTTGTTGCCTCTCAGACACGCTTCTTCGGCGTGTGATTACACGTCGCCTGTGGCAGGCTCCCGACACCGACGCCTGTTGACTGCCGGATGCCTCGCGCACGGCGCTCGAATTGAAACCAGTCACGACGGCAGCGACTTTGTGCTTTTGTGAAACAGAATAGAAATCAAGTTTAGGTGAACCTGAATATTATCTTTTCATTTGCTGTTTCGTCCTTGACTGTCACTCAGTATTTTTGTGGTTTTATAAAAGTACAATGTACTGTATGTGCAGCCTCAAAAGCCGATGTGGGCTCGCTGTTTCATGTTGCAGCGCATCCACAGGTCGAGTAGCTCAATGTTTGGGTGTGAGTCACCAACTGTGGGGTTTTTTTTGGGGGGGGCTATAGTCGGATCGGAGTCGGCTCAAAAGAAAAGGCGCTGATAGGTTTCTGTTGTTTTTTTGTTGTCTTTGTGAGCATCAACATTTTGAACCAAGGCGTGTTAAATTTAGACTGGCGGGAGTGCACGGATGAGATAAAATTGAGCGGGAGGAGAGCACGTCGCTAACAGTGGGAGCTCGCTTGGGGAGGAGGTGAACATGAATGATGCAACACTGCACCATTCTTTGTTCTCCACTTTCTTTCCTTTTTTTTTTTTTTTTTTTGCTCTATCTTCTTGTTGGAGGGCCGCATGCCAGACACTTGCGTTCCTCTCGCGGGCACTTTAAATAATACCCCACTTGAACCACTTACCTCAATTTAACCCCAACTCAATCATAAACTTAACCTTAACATAACCTTAACCTTAAAGCCTCCATTGGCTGGAATACATCCCACCAGGGCTTTTCCCACACCGGGACAATAAGGCACTCTAAAATGACCATGCCAACCTGAAGAGTCTGCCCATGCGCCTGGCTGTCAAGTTAAACTGAGAAGAATTTTTAAAATCCCCAATCCTCTCTTTCTCATTTTCTCTGCTTGATATGCGCACACTTCCAGCAGACGACGACGCACTCTAATTAATCCACTCTTGTGGACTATTCAAATGGCAGATATATTTTCGGGATGTAATCTTAACTCGCTCGCTATCCGCGTTTCACAACAGCGCCGATGCAAAGGCGCTCGAGTCTTATTTAACAGAGGGGAGATTTAGCCACGCCCCCAAATATGTGGAAAACTCAAAATGGTGAAGAACAGTAAAATGCGACAGCATCCTTCTCGGTCTTCGCACGTTTTCAGCAATTGTCTTTAAAACCACTCCACTGGATTGAGAAACAAATCTCTGATTTCTCTTTGGAGTGACTTTAACCCGAGTTAGTCCAGCGTGTCGACTTTAGTGTTGTTTCACTTTGTTGTTTGACTCCACTTGTCTCCCAAGGCCGACCTGCAAGTCTTTCATCTGAACCACTTCCTCCTAACACACCTTCAAACTAAAAATAGAGATGTGCCACATTAAGTTAACATTGCCCGCCTCCCTCATTTTCGTCGTCATCGCTGTCTATCCCCCTCCCGAAAAAAAAAAAAAAAAAAAAAGCGAGTCGGCCCAGAGTCTGAAAGGACCATAAATATGACGGATGCGCGGGGCGGCCGGCGGCTGTTTTACGACCCGCGGCGGCACTTCATTAAAGTGCGAATGAAATTGATGGGCGGCCATAATTGACCTCTGGAAAGCCCGACGCTCGTTTTCCACACTCACTATTAGAGGAACTTCTTTCGATCTGTATGACAGCGACACTGATGGATTCTCTGTTTAGGGCACAAGAGCGACAGATGGAGAATATTAAACTTCTCAAAAATATTTCTGTCTCGTCCAAAGCAAAACATGTCCCGAACAGTACATCACGACTTAATCTGTTGAGCGTAGCAAATTTACAACAACTAATTTTAGCGCCGCACTGATGAACAGAGAGGAGCTGAAACATCTTTACAGTATGTCCGTCTGTTTTATATTACCCCCAGGTGGGTAAAGTGGTCACATTAGAAAGAGGAGCAAAAATACAAAACAAACAGTATAATATTAAAACTAAATAAATATTTAAAACAACCAGATAGCTTAGCCTTTCAGTCCGCTAGATTAAGGCTAAAGCTAGATAGCATTTATGCGCAGTCTGGAAGCAACGGTTTGAGCATGAACGTCGCAGTACCACATGTAGAGAGATAACTTTAAAAAAAAAAAATCATAAATCAAACTATCAAACGTGCTCTAAAACCGAATTAAAAAAAAATGAAATCGAAAACTAGAATGAAAAATACAATTTTTTTTTTAAATAACCTTGGTCATGTAGCAGTCAAGCATTTTGTTTTGGAGTGTTTTTGTGTGTCCCCTTACGATTGTTTGGCTTGCTTACACACTACCGCTGTTGCTGTTGCCATCCTGGTGAATAAAACATGAGGCGTGTCGCATTCATGCCGGGTGACAGGTCGCCACCATTGATGTCGGCTCAGCCTGACATTTGCTAAGCAGCCGCTCGCTGTCCCGCCGCCGCCGGCAAGGGCTGAGGATTGTTTGTTGTCTTCGTTTGTTCGTCATCTCGCCTTCTCGTCGTCGCCGCCTCGCCGACATTGTTCGGAAAACCAAAGTCATCTTTTCATCGAGGGCGCCGACGCTCTCGTGGTGTCGTAACTCAAAGAACTCCACCAGCCAGTTCCTCACAAACGTCCAGTCGTTGGCGTGTCATTCATTTAATTAATCAATTAATTTTTTTTTTTTTTTTGTAGGCTCCATTTTTTTTCTCCCCGCAATATAAATACAATTTGTAACTTTTTACCCCTTCTATTCCAATTCATATTAATCCACTTACAGCACAAGACTTTGGTCAGGAAAAGCCTACTCGAAAACCCGAACTTTATTGGGGGTTAATCAGAGACACATTAAATAGTGGCAGGTGGTCATTTTCTTTTCAAGTGGGTCCGATTGGTTCATAGGTCACAAAAATGGTGGGAAATGATTTGGAAGAATGTGATTGCATCTCTCAATTTATTATTATTATTTTTTTTTCATTCCTCTTCAAGGAATAAACTTCCATCAACGGCCTCCTCAAGGCCGTTGATGGAAGTTTATCAAGATATTTTATTCCCCTCCATCATCTTAGCTCTTTTTTTTTATCTTGCTGTCTATATGGAAGATGTTTGACACACTATCTTGACTCCCTGCGCATTAACGTCTCGTCGATTGGTCTCTTGTTTTGAAAGCCCGGCTAGACTGCATGAATCATCACACGTGCCGGCGCACAGGAGGATGAAATAAAAAGATGCCAGTGGTAATTAGGCTTTTCCTTCGCCTCAGCTGTCATCTTTTTTTTTTTTTTTCCCTCGCCGTAGCTCCTGTGTGCGCGCTCGCCTCCAAAGGCATCAAACAAACAAACAAGTGGGTGCAAGATGCATCGTGGGTCCTCCTCAAGGGCGCCCTTCATGTCAGAAGACGTACCGTCACGCTCCTCGTCAAGCGCGCGTCGCAAGTGAAACAACATGTTGTTTTGCCAACACAATGACTTGGTCTTTGATATTTGCCAAAATGTGCCCTGTGCGTTTGTTCAGAACAGATCTTGGACCGAAAAGTGTGTGAGTCATTGAAGGCATCGCGTAATTCGATTTTTGTCAACAAATACATTATGTTCGGTGAAGGCGCTAAATCGCCATTGAATGTTTACTTTATGCTAATTACATTAGGTGACAGAAGATCAGACACGGGGGAGAAAAGACCGTGCGAGAGAGCGCGGGAAGGTAGGAGAGAAGACTGAAGGGAGAGAGGAATGAAGGGATAGAAGACAAACGAGAGGGAGGACAGACAGGAAAGGGAGAGAGGAACTGATGAGTAGACAGACGAGAAAAAGGACTGACGGGACGGGAAAGGGGGCATCTAAGAGAGGACATATGAGAGAGCAGACGTAGGAGAAAGGATAGAACAGGAGGGAGGACAAATGAAAGAGGACATGCAAGGGAGCAGAGTGACTCGAGAGAAGACAGAAGGGAGGACTGAGTGAGAGCAGACCGACAGGAGAAAGGAATCGAGAGAGGATTACTGAGGGAGCACTATCCAAGCGAGAGAGCATAGACAGGCAGGAGAGAAGACTGAAGAAAGATTGGACAGACAGGAGAGAGGAATGAAGGGGAGAAGACAAATGAGAGAGGACAGACAGGAAAGCGGGCACAAGGGAGAGAAGGACTGACGGGAGAGTCATGAGAGAGGATATATGAGAGAGCATACGAAGGAAAAAGGATAGACAGGAGTCAGGGCGAAAGAGATGGGACATACAATGGAGTAGGGAGACTACAGAGAGTAGGAGAGAGGACCTAAGAGAGGTCTGATGAGGGAGCAGACAGACCTTTTTTTTTTTTTCCGCCTGCGTCGGCAGAGCTTCAAAGTGCAAGTGACTTTGCAATTAAAACGATGCATGATTAAAGTGCGGCGCTACGAGACCTCTGCCAAGGCTTCATCGCTCCTCCCCTGCCCAATCGAATATATTTTCGTAAATCCAGACATGACGTCGGAATTGAATATTTCCCCAAAAAAAACAGCAAAAAAAAAA